TCTTAACTGTGTATCTCTGGCTGGGCTGGAACTCAATGCTGGGTTGAAGAGGAAGACCTTCCCCAAACAGGAGAGGACCATTCTTTGGTCAGGGATCTGTTAGAACTTCCAAACAAGCAAAACTGACTTTAAAGATAGCCTTGACTTTTGTAAATGTTTCACAGGACTTCTTTCTCATGGAGCATGCTCATGAATGAGGCAGTAGACAATAAACAAGGGAAACATGGTAACTGTAAATCATCATCATTAATATAAAGAAAATAAATGGGACAGCTAGGGAAAGTAATGGAGGACAGGATCTCTGAGGAAGGGACATCTGGCCTGAGACCTGAAGGAACACCAAAAGCCACACATGCCAAGATCGGAGAAAAGCATTGTAAGCACAGACAGAACCAGAGCCAAAGCCAACAGAGGAAAACAAGAAACAGGAGTGTGTGGCAGAAAGAGAGCCAACTGGCTGGAATGTAGTGAGCTGAGGCAAAACCCAGGGGAGAGGACTTTGGAGTCAGACCAAGGTGAGATCATACAAACTCCTGTAAGAACCAATGCAAAGGAGGTGAGAGTATCCTGAGGGCCAGGCAGTGAAGCCATAGGAGTTGCTTGGAGTCTTTAATACTCCTTTTAGGCTTAAAGGTTGACAGTGGGATGAGAAAAGAAGCAGGACAAGCGGAAAAATAAAAAGCAGGCAGGATACTTCCTTAATTATCTTTTTATTTATTCTTTGTGTCTTTCACATCATCCATCTCAATCGCATTCATTCCCCTGTCCCTTTGTATCCACCCTCTGCCATTGCAATGCACCCACACAAATAGAATAAAATTTAAAAGAAAAAAAGAAAAGAAGAAAAGAAAAAAGGGAAAAATCTCATCATGGAAGCTGTAGTATGACACAGTGAGTCACTCAGTAAACCCTTTTTGGACTATACTATCTTATAGCGATAGTTTTATAGTTTTTTAAATTGATTTTTCTTTAAAATTTATTTAATTTAAAAATTTTATATATATATATATGTATATCAATTCCCCCCTCTCCTCCTTCCAAGTCCCCATGTCTTCCCTACTCTCTCTCAAATTCATAGTCTCCTTTTCTTTAATTATTATCACACACACATATCCCAATAAACACATTTTTTAAATTTTAAATTAGGTGTTGATTTGCCTATGAAGATCATACATGATTAAACTTGGTCAAAGTTATTGCATTTCCCCCCATTCCTTTTAAATATATTTCTTTTATAAATTTATAGGTGTCAATAACCTTTGAAGATCATGTAACCTCAGATCTCATTTTCTTTGGAGATTTGGTTACTAGCATATATGAAATAATAATTTTGCCCAATTTTTATTTATATTGCTCTAATTAAATGACATTAACTAGTCAGAAAAAAAGGTGACCTACAATAACAAATAAAAAGAAAACATAAAACCAAATTGGTTTAAAATTTTAAAATAACTTTTGCATTTTAGCTATTATACAAAATCTCTAAACATTTCAGATACTCAAGAATTTAAGATCTACAGACTACTGAAAATACAAAGAGAAAGGAGTCTCTGGCCATGTTGACAATCCTTCAGCCTTAGCCTCCCAAGTGCTAGACCTGGCTTCCTAATGAACAAATAAGTAAGCCTGAGTGGTGTCGCAGCGGTGAACTCGGGAGGCAGAGGCAGGTGAATCTCTGTGAGTTCAAGTCCACCCTGGTCTACAGAGTGAGTTCAGGACAGCCAGGACTACATAATGGAAAGATGTGTCTTAAAAAACAAAACAAACCCTGGGTGGTGGTGGTGGCACACGCCTTTAATCCCAGCACTCAGGAGGGAGAGGCAAGAGGATCTCTGTGATTTCAAGGCCACCCTGGTCTACAGAGTGAGTTCAGGACAGCCAAGGCTACACAGAAAAACCCTGTCTCAAAAAAGAAAAGAAAACAAAACCCAAAAGAAAAAAAAAAAAAAAACCAACACACACACACACACACACACACACACACACACACACACACACACGCCACTAACACAACAACAAAAAAACAAAGTAAACGTTAATAATACTAATTAGTAGGTGGGTTCTCAACTTCTCATCAGCTGGTCCCTTGCTGCCCCCAGCTTTTGGGTCTTCACAGGACCCAAACAAGCCCTCCCCTGCCCGGGCACCTTTTCAATTGTATTCCTTCCTGCTTTTCCTCTGCCTTCCTGGAGGATCTACTCCATCCCAGCCCAGTCCAGAGAAGCTCTCTGACCACCCACTGGTACTTCCCTTTTAAATGTTTGCTCTGAGATAACTCTTGTCTTTTTCTTATTAAAACTATCCCAATTTCTAGTCATATTTCCTTATTTATCTTTTTATTCTTCTTCTCCTTCAAAAGAGAATGTCATTTCCAAGTGAGAAAAACCATTTTTTTTTCTGAACATTATTTTTCTAGTATCTACTCTGAACATGGGTATATACAGGACATCCAGGAAGTGAATAAATACTATGTTCTATTGATGAACTATAAATTCAACTGGCTCAGCTGGGTATAGTGGTGTACTATAGCTGGTTGCCCACCACCCAGATCCCAAATGAATAAATGGGGACTTATTCCTGGCCCCCCCCCCCAGACAGGGTTTCTCTGTGTACAATTAAAATCACATTTCAGTACAAATAAAATGCCACCATAGTGTAGTTTGGGTTCTTGTCCTGTATCTCGCTCTGTAGACCAGGCTGGCCTCAAACTCACAGAGATCGGCCTGCCTCTGCCTCCCGAGTGCTGGGATGAAAGGAGTGTGCCACCACTGCCCGGCATGGAGACTTATTCTTACTTAAGAATGCTCAGCCTTAGCTTGGCTTGTTTCTAGCAGCTTTTCTAACTTAAGTTATCCCATTTCTTTTTAACTACATTTTACCTCTGGGCTTTTTATCTTTCTTTATTCTATATATCTTCTTTCCTTCTTACTCTATGGCTGGGTGGCTGGCCCCTGGTGTCCTCCTCTCCTCCTTTTCTCACCCCTTGCTCTTTTCCTTTTCTGAGCCTAGATTTCTCCTCCTATTTATTCTCTCTGCCTGGCAGCCCCACGTCTACCTCTCCTGCCTAGCTATTGGATGTTCAGCTCTTTATTAGACCAATCTGCTATATCAGGCAGGCAAAGTAGCACAGCTTTATAAAAACAAACAAATGCAACATAAAATACAACACATCTTTGTATCATTAAACAAATATTCCACAGCATAAATAAATGTAACCCATCTTAAACTAATATTGCACAAGAGTACCCACCTGAAATGCCATTATTTGAGATGTAGGAGCTTGAGAATCAGCAATATAAGGCCAGATTTGGCTACATAGAAAATTAAAGGGCATTTTGGGTTATGAAAGACCTTGTCTCAAAAAGCCAAATGCCAACTGTATGTGTGTGTTGTTTTATTTTAACTAATTAACTAATTAATTAATTTCTTCATTGACAATCAGCACAGAGTTCCTGTCTGCCTGCCAGAGGCTCATCATTTGTGGTGGTTGTTGTTTTTTAAAACTACTCCAACAAGAACATAAACTGTGTCCTGCAGAAATGGAGTAGTATGCTAATAAACTGCTGGAGTCTTCTAAGGTGTGAGCTCATTGAACTACTTCTAACCAATTATTAGAAAATCTGGTAATGTTTGTGTGGTGGTTTGAAGGAGAATAGCCCAGATAGGCTTATATATGTAAATGCTTGGTCTCCAGTTGGTGGAACTCTTTGGGAAGGATTAGGAGGTGTGGCCTTAAAGGAGGAGGTGTGTCATTAGGGGTAAGCTTTGAGGTTTCAGTTAGCTCTCTTTCTGCCTTGTTTTTCTGGGTAAGAATGTAAGCTCTCAGCTCCTGCTCCAGCACCATGCCTGTCTGCCTGCTGCCACGCTCCCTCCACAATGACCATTCGAACCCTCTGGGACTGGGTGTCCCAATACGCTTTTTCTTCCATAAGCTGCCTTGGTCATGGTGTGTTACCACAGCAATAGAACAGTAACTAAGACAGTTTGATTTGGATTCCCTTTCAGGGTCTTTCAGGGTTACTCCTGAAAACAGATATTGCAGATCCTCATCTGGTAGAAGGTATCACTTCTGTCTGTCTGGTGAAGAATCTTCCATATTGGAGGATGGATGGGCTCTGCAGGAGGAGATAGACTGTGGTTTGCAGACTTTGTGCTTTTATGGCACACAAGCACTCTGTTGTGGGGACTGCCTGCCCATTTTCTCTTAGGAAGATTCCTTTTGTGTTTAACTAATGCTTAATTAAGACCATAGTGGATCAGGTTTCACTGTGAGTTGTCAGTTCATTGGGACTTTTGTTTCTTAGCAACAGTTGGGCCCTCTTTCCTTCCACATTGTTCTCTGTTTTAGCCTCAAGTCAAATAAGAGAATAAGTGGGCATGGCAGCTTGACCTTCAGTGATAGCTTTATACACAATGGCACAGGCATCCTGGGCATGGTGGGTACTGGTAGTGAAGGAATCACCATACTTCTGTGAGGCAGACTCAGGGAGGGACAGCAGAAGGGGCTTTGGAAGGACCTGAGGAACTGGGGTGCCTTACATCAGTAGCACCTTGTAGACTCTGCTTCTACCTTGAGCACTCATTTGTCAAGGGCAATATTAGAAACAGTGTGACAAAACTTCTGTTACAATTCAGCATGCCCATTCTCATTTCTTATGTAGACGTACATACTCAGATCACAGGTGATGGGCACAAAAGAGAGCCGATGACCATCAAACTGATCAAATCTGGAGCAAATTTGGCAACTTGCTCTATGTGATGGTGTGCTGATATTTTGTTGTACTCTAATAAAATTTGCCTGAAGATCAGAGGACAGAGCCAGCCACTAGACTTAACATAGAGGTCAGGTAGTGGTGGCACATACCTTTAATCCTAGCACTTAGGAGGCAGAGATCCATCTGGATCTCTGTGAGTTCAAGGCCACACTGGACTACATGATATTGAATCAGTCTAGGAGAGACAGAGCCAGGCAGTGGTGGCTCACACTTTTAACCCCAGTATTTGGGAAGCATACACGCCATTAATCACAGCACTAAGAAGGTTGAGACAGGAAATGAAATGGCCGGGTGGAGAAAGGCATATAAAGCATGAGGAGACAGGAACTGGAGATCCTTTAGGCTGAGGACTCAGGCATTCAGTTAGAGGATTTGTAGAGTTGGTGAGGTGAGAAGTGGCTGTGGCTTGTTCCTTTGTCTCTCTGATCTTTCAGCATTTACCCTAATATCTGGCTCCAGGTTTTTATTAAAAGACCATTTAGGATTCGTGCAACATGATGGCTATTCTTGGTTGTCAACTTGACTACATCTGGAATCAACTAAAGCCCAAGCAATTGGGCACATCTACGAGGGACTTTTTTTAAAAATCATTTGAGGTGGGAAGAACTACCCTAAATCTGGGCCACACCTTCTGTTGCAGCCTATATACAGGACAGGGAGGAAGGAATCTTTTGCTTTTTGCCTGCTTGCCCTCACTGTCCCTGGCAAGTTCCTTCCTTTCTGGTATTAGAGCCTACTTCTTCAGGACTCTGATATATACTGAAGAACAGCTGAGACATTCAGCCTCATGGAATGATTAACTATTGGATTCTTGGACTTTCCGTCAGGAGTCAGGAGATAGCCACTGTTGCACTAGCCAGACCACAGCTTGTGAGCTACTCTAATTATATATATGTATTTATTCTATCAGTTCTGTTTTTCTAGAGAACCCTGGTCAATACATTCTACTTCCATCTGGAAACCTTTTTAGAATGTATCTCCTAGGTGCATTTTGAAACTTAGTATGTAGTAACTTATACATTTGAAAGTTCTAAAAGTACTTGGCTTCGATACAATCTGAGCTCTAAGCCACTTGGGGTAAAAAAAATCGCTACTGTGTAACACCCTGAATTCCCACCTTGTAACGGGAACTCTGTATAACCCTTCCTTTCTCTTGACTTGACTCATTACTTTCTCTGTGGTTTGTATCTGCATTTCCACTCACAGCCACTTAAGCACAGGGCTTTGCTGCTGCAACCAGTAGAAATGCACTTTGCTGAACCCAAGATGTGACATTCTCTTATAAGGATGAGCTATGACAAAGAATTCAAAGATGAGAACAGACTAACTTCTCAAAGGATGGAGGTCAGGAACTGGTGCAGCTGTTATATTGTGTTTGATATGTGCTTCACGAAAGCACAGACTTTAGTAAAACTGCCCGGGTTTCTTCAGCTTCCACATCTCCTTTAAGAGTCTCAGCTTCCTGATCTGCAAGGGAGAGAAGACTGAATCATCTTCACAGAACTCTAGGACTATGACATGGCCTGTACTGCCTCCTCTTCCCCACAGACCCTGATTCTCCACCTGCCACATGCTATCACACAAGGCAGACCTGGCCCAAGTTTACATGTTTCTAGTTCAAATGATAACAACCTGACAAACATTTCTCAGTTCTGATTTTACATTCTCAGGACAACCTGTTTGATCCAGATAGGACCAGTAGTTCATCTAGGAAAAGTTAAAGTTTGGTCTTCTAGTTCGTATGTTGTGGCTGAGGTTGAACTCCAAATGTGTATAGAATTTTCTTAGTGGAAGGGTGTTAATCAAGGCTAAAATCCCCAGCGAAAAGTTTTCTATTTGTCCCAAGTCACTTAACACCTCTTTTCATAATCACAAAAATCCCCCAAGTAATTGACTTGTTGACTGTCATTTAACCAATGACAGAAGAGGACATAGTGCAAAGCTTGGCTCTAAATCCAATATTTCTTTTCTCTAAATAATTCTTTAGACGTACATATTTCCTGCATGTATCTAAGCATGTAAGACAGAAGACCTGAAGTAGCTTAAAATTGGCTTTTATGTTTATTTTCTTTTTAAAAATATAGGAAATAATCAGCTATACTTCAGAGAAGGCTTTTGACCAAGGCAACTTATAAAAGATAAGCATTTAGTTGGGGGCTTGCTTACAGTTTCAGAGGGTTAGTCCATGGTCATCATGGTGGGAAGCATTGTGGCAGGCAGGCATGGCACTGGAGCATTTGTTAAGGGGAAAAAAGGCAGCTGACTGACACACTGTGGGATCTCCAGAAGCGCCCTTGTCTTCAAATACTATATATCAGCACATTAACTCACATTAATATATGAGACTCATCTGCCATGACAACCACAGATGTTCCCAGATTTTTGCCACTTATCCCTCATGGGGATAAAATTTGCCTTCTAACTGCTGTTAAGAACCACTGTTTGAAGCTAGGCAGTGGTGCCGCAGGCCTTTAATTCCAGCACTCGGGAGGCAGAGGCAGGTGGATCTCTGTGAGTTTGAGGCCAGCATGGTCTACAGAGCAAGTTCCAGGAAAGGTGCCAAAGCTACACAGAGAAACCCTGTCTCAAAAAACAAAAACAAACAAACAAAACACTGTTTAGGCTGGGTGATAGTGGCCCACACCTTTAATCCCAGCACGGGAGGCAGACCCAGGCGGATCTCTGTGAGTTTGAGGCCAGCCTGGTCTACAGAGCAAGCTCCAGGTCAGGCACGAAACCTGGTCAGGCACAAAGAAACCCTGTCTCAAAGAACCAAAATAAATAAATAAATAAATAAATAAATAAATAAATAAATAAATAAATAAAAATAAAAAAAAAAAGAAAGAAAGAAAAGAAAAGAAAAGAACTGCTGTTTCTATCCTGGCCTCTCCACACTGCATCTAAACACTAAGTTATTGCAGTCAGTGCTGTTGTTATGAGGGTGACATCAGTGTTTCTCAAGACTAATGGCACTTACACTCACCCTGGGGAGCTTTAAAAGAATGCACTTGCAGAAGGGTGAGGGGAGGGCTCTACCCCAGAGCAGTGGAACAGACTCCTTTGAGTTTGAGGTAGGGCTTGAACAATTTATTGCAAAGCATTTCAGGTAGCTCTACATTTTGGCACAATTAACAAATATCTTCTAAAAATACTAGTCTTTCTGGAAGTATATGTATTAGTGGGGGACTAGAGAGCCCACAGAAACTCTTACCAGTTAAGTGAGCATCTGTATTGGTTACTTGTCTACTGAGACAGAACACCATAACCAAGGCAACTTATAGAATAAAGTGGTTATCTCAGAGGGTTAGTCTGTGATGGCACAGCAAGAGGTGGCTGGAGCTGCCACTGAGAGTCAGGAGGCAGAAGGAGATAACTGGGATGGCATGGGCTTTGAGACTTAGAGGTCCACCCCCAGGGACACACCTCCTTCTGCAGTGCCCTACCCCTCCTAATGCTTCCTCAACAGCCACCAACCGAGGACCAAGTATTCAAATGCCTGAGACTTATAGAGGGCATCTCTTTCAGATCACCAGGCCACCCATATCCTGTAAGGATAAACAATGCTAGTTGCTGTTCAGTTCCTTATTTTAAAAATACAGGAAACATATTTGCTTTAATCAGACTTGAAATTCATATATTTACTTTCTCCAGTGATTAATATGTTTTAGTCTTTGCAGAAAATTCTTATATCCAACTCTTCTCTCATATATTCAAACTCATCTCAAAAGATTATTACCAGCTGGAAGTAGGAATTGTTGTATGTGCTGTAATCCCAGCACTTAGTAGGCTAAGGCAGGTGATCATGAGTTTGAGGCCAGCCTGGGTTATAGGGTGAAAAACAAAGTTATTAAAAGGAAAAAAGGAAGGGGCTAGAGAGATGGCTCAGTGGTTAAGACAATGGCTGTTCTTCCAGAGGACCCAGGTTCAATTCCCAGCACCCACATGGCAGCTCACAACTGTCCATAACTGTCTTTGGAACACCTTAAGGCTTTTATCAAAGCAAATAAGTCAAAATCCTCAAAGACAGAAAAGAATACTTTCCAGGTTGAAGGGGCTGCTCAGGGGTTAAAAGCATTCACTCACTACTTCTGCTGATACAAGTTCAGTTCCCAACACCCATGTCAGGTGGTTTGCATCTGCCTATAACTGCAGTTCCAAGGTTCACAACTGCAGCTCCTGGATACCACTCATGTGCACATGCCCACAGAGGACACATATACACATTTAAAATAACAAAAAAGATATATTCCCTCCCAATTAAAAGTCAAATCCTGCCGGGCGGTGGTGGCGCATGCCTTTAATCCCAGCACTTGGGAGGCAGAGCCAGGCGGATCTCTGTGAGTTCGAGGCCAGCCTGGGCTACCAAGTGAGTTCCAGGAAAGGCGCAAAGCTACACAGAGAAACCCTGTCTCGAAAAAACAAAAAAAACAAAAAAGTCAAATCCTGTGAGGAATTTAGATTCATTCCATTTATTTATCATCTACCACATTCCATTTCAATCTATCTTATGGCCATATTGCTCAACAAAACAGTTCTTGTTGTGGTAACTGATGACCATCACGTCACTAACCCAATGGACATTCTCCAGGCCTTGTTTCACATGACTTCACAATGGCATTTGACATTGTTTATTTGCGGCTCCTTCCTTGAAGCACGGAGTCATTTGTCTTGTCGAGCACAGCACCCCCTGGGAACCACAGCTATTCTAGCTCGTCTTCCTCTACTTAGGACTTAAGCTATTCCAAAGTCAGTTTCATGTATACTCAGGAGTTTAATCTTTCCCTATACACTCACCAGTTTTCTGTTTTGGAAGTGATGTAACCAGCTCTCTCAGGCTTCTGCTGCTGCGACCTCCCAGTAGTAATAGACTGTAACCTGGAATGGAGCTAATATAAATCCTTTCTGCCCAAAGGAGCTTGTCCCCAGATCCATGCTTCTATTTAGAAGCTGCTTCGATGACTCAAAGACAGCAGAAATTCAGGAAGTACTAAACCAAATGATCTTCCAACCTCCCTGACAACTCCAAATACATTAACACTCTAGTGAATGAATGCCACTACCATTCAGCTGTAAATACACAAGTAACTTCTTCCTCCTAATGCTCAGTCCAGCTCCAGGAAGTGTTTCTACTGTTCCTCCAACTCACTCTACCTCTATTACACTATCCTGGTCCAATACTCCAGTTTCAGTTTCTTTTATCTGCAAAAACCTCTAACTAATTTGGGAGTATCCTATCTACTTTGATACATCCTAATCTTTGCTTGGGATTTATATCTAGAGTACAATTTTCAATTTACCAATCTTGTTAAGTCACCATCAAGCTAAAATTCCTTTGATGGTTTCCTAATTTCCTACACAATCCACTTAGTCCCTGAATAGCCTTGCCTTTGTAGATCCTCTCACTCAGTCGCTGTTTGCTCTCTCAGTACTATGTACTCTATAGTCCTTTATTCTGATGGCTAATCCTCACTGTCAATTTGACTAAATTTAGAGTTACCAGGGAAACACTTTTGCTTGTGTCTATGATACATTTAGAAGGGAGGAAAACTTAACTCTGGATGTGGGCAGCACTGTTCCAGGACTAAGTAAAAACAAGAATGCAAGCTAAGCACCAGTATTCATCTCTCTCTCCTTTCTGACTATAGAAACCACGTGACCGGCTGCTTCACATGTCTGTCATTATGACTGCCCCACCATGATGGACAATGCATGCAAACGGTAAGCCTGGATAAGCTTTTCCTTGAGGCCATCTTTGCTGGGAACTTGTCATAGCAGCTGTCTTCGTCACTGTTCTGTTGCTGTGAACAGACACCATGATCAAGGCAACTCTTAAAAAGAGCCTTTAATTAGGGGCTTGCTTATAGTTTCGGATGTTTAGTCTATTATTGTCACGGGGGGGGGGGGGGGGGGGGGGGGGGGGGGGGGCGGCGGTAATGGCTGGAGCATGGTGGCGCTCATGGTGTTGGAGCAGTAGCTAAGAGTTACATCCTGATCTGCAGGCAGAGAGTGGGGGGGGGGGGGGTGGGAGGGAGGGAAGGAAAGAGGGGGAGATTGTACCTGGCATGGCTTTTTGAGACCTCAGTTTCACCCCCAGTGACACACCTCTTCCAGCAAGGCCACACCTCCTAATCCTTGTAATCCTTTTAAACAGTTGCACTCCTTGGTGACCAAGCATTCAAATATATGAGCCTACAGAGGCCATTATCATTTAAACCACCACAGCAAGAGAAAAGTAATGAATACATTTGAAGGTGTGGTGCTGATCTATTCATCACTGAAATGCTTCTCTAACATCCTTGAAGGACACTTTTTAAAAAAATGAAGCCCATTTTAAACAAATGAGTGTGATGATTCCTCTGGCCCAAGAATGTTTTCTCACATTGATCTACAAAGAATGTCTTCAGTGGCCTCTTTTGTCTAATTGATACTAATTCCTCAGTTCTCAGGTCACTGCATTTTCTTTGGAGAGATTTTTTTTCTAACTAGCATTTATACTCTCATAGGATTAAGTTTCTTCTTATATTTATATTTCTCAGTTTTGAATTCAGTGTGGTTATTTCCTGTATTAAACCCTAAATGTGTCTGGTTTCACTCTATGAAAATTCCCTGTCCCTTAGCAGAATATCTGAGATGAAATAAGTTTCTAGAATGACTTAATATGATGTAATGTGGACAGTTTCCATATTCAAGGGTCTCATAATGTAACACAGAAGCAGAGTAGTGTGCTGGTCTGAATAAAAATGCTCCCACAGGCTCACAGGGAATGGCACTATTGGGAGGTGTGGCCTCGTTGGAGGAAGGGTGGTACTGGGAAGTAGGCTTTCAGATTTCAGAAGCCTAAGCCAGGCCCAGTGTCCGCTCTCTTCCTGCTGCCTGCCAGTCTGGATGTAGAACTGTTAGCTACCTCTCCAGCAACATGTCTGTCTGCATGCCGTCACGCTTCCCACCATGACTATAATGGACTAAACCTCTGTACCGTAAGCCAGCCCCAATTAAATGTTTTCCTTTATAAGAGTTGCCTTGTTTGCCAGGGTGGTAGCAGCACATGCCTTTAATCCAGCACTCGGATCTCTGTAAGTTCAAGGCCAGACCTGGTTTACAGAGTGAGTTCCAGGACAGCCAGGGATACACAGAGAAACCCTGTCTCAAAAAAATAAGTGAAAAAACAAAAAATAAAAAACAAAAAAACTGAAAAGAAGGCATGGCAACACTGTTGAACTAATCTGACAATTTAATTATCTCTTTTCTTTTACTGCATATACACATATACATTTAATTTGGAAATCAGACGAAGTTATATCTTTCTATGCCTATTAGATTCTATATCTAGTGGCCTCTTAGAATCATCTTTAAGAACTTTTCGTTTGCAATTTTATTGACATTAAGGGACTTAAAATTTAAAGTGGTAGAATCATGCAAGCCTGTAGTTCCAACTCTCAGGGGGCTGAAGCAGGAGGGTCACTTGAGCCCGGGAACCAAAGTCATGCTTATTATGATAGGGAAACTGTCTCCTACAGGTACCCATGTCTTAAAAAGAAAATTAATCAGCTAGTAACAGCAGTTATTGCCAAGTCTAATGACCTGAATTTGATCTCTAGGACCCAAATAATGAAAGGAAGGAACTGACTCCTTTAAGTTGTCTCTGACCTACACATACATATGTATTGTACCATGTGCATGCACATGCATGTACACACAAAAAATAAGCGTAAGAAAACACTTTAAAAAAAAAGATTTATTTATTATGTATATCATTATATCCTGCCTGCAAAGCCAGAGGAGGGCACCAGATCCCATTACAGATGGTTGTGAGCCACCATGTGGTTACTGGGAATTGAACTCAGGACCTCTGGAAGAGAGTCAATGCCCTTAACTTCTGAGCCATCCCTCCAGCCCGAAAACACTTTTTAAAAGAAAACAATTTATCAGTCAAAATCTCCAAATATAGTAACTAAGATGTCTGAACTGAGATGGCTATCAGAATGTACTAGAGAATTCTTCCAAACACCTCATAGGTTGGAAATCACCCACAGTGGATGCAGTGGAATGAAGTGCCAGGCAACTGTCCTGAGAAAAGTGTTCTGCCCAATTCTGCAAACAGTAACTCTTACAAAATTATGACTAGAAAAGTAGAAAATGTGTCACATTTACTATGACTTAAAATTTTGCAAGCCTATCAAAGAACTTTATAAATTTACACATGACATTTGGAAAATTCTTCCTGTTTGGCAAGGTACTCAGGTTGATGTCATAGGCTAAAATTGAAAACACCCTTAGTTGAAAGTGCATTTAACACGTGACCTACACAATACAATAACTCAGTAACACTGATACTTGAGTTTGTATTGTCTACCTTATGATCACCAAGTCTGATGAGGCCCTATGAGAAAGCACTGTCTTATAGGGCATGTCTTTAGACTGGAAAAAAAAAACACTAAAATTCAAAAGTTGTTCTTACAGAATATGTCAATTCCACATGACCATGAAATAAAAAAATATTAACTGCAACAATTTTAAGTCAGACTCTATTTTTTTTTTTTTTTTGGTTTTTCGAGACAGGGTTTCTCTGTGTAGCTTTGCGCCTTTCCTGGAGCTCACTTGGTAGCCCAGGCTGGCCTCGAACTCACAGAGATCCGCCTGGCTCTGCCTCCCGAGTGCTGGGATTAAAGGCGTGCGCCACCAACGCCCGGCTCAGACTCTATTTTAATATTAAGTAGGAGAAAGAATATATTTATTCCTATATTGGCAACCCCAAAGTTAGAGGAGAAAGAGCTACTGTTTTCCATCTATCTGGGGGCATATTTTACCATTCTGGATGTGTTTCTCAGTATATCTATTTAAGAATACTGTTGGAGGTCATTTTCATGTCACTATGACCTGATTCCAGAGAAAACAACTTATAGGAAGAAAGGTTTACTTTGATTCATTGTTTTGAGGCCAGAGCCATGATATAGTTTTTTTCTAAGTCACACCCCCAGTGACTCACTATCTCCACTGAGGCCCTACCCATGTTCCACAACATCCCATAGTCCATCAAAATCTGAATCCACGCAGGGATGAGGTAGGTGCTTTAATCCTTTCATTTTCTCTGGAAATGACCTCATAGACATATCCAGTTCTATATTTTACACATCATCTCTTAGATATTTCTCAATCCAATCAAGTTGACAATAAAGAGTAACCATCCCAGACACCCACTGGCAAGCTTTACTTATACAATGTATCAGAAATAAGGATTCACAGAATAATGTGTTAGAATCTGTAAATGTCATACTCACCCAAAGGACTATCAAGTGTTCCAAATGGAAATTGAATAGTAGCAAAACAAGCCCAAACCCCTCATGGTTGATGCTAATTTTCTGGACTTTCTGCTATTTACATGCTTAGATAATCACTCTGAGGCTGTTATTTGATGTACTAACAAGAGATGCAATTGGTTGGGTTCAGTGCTTGCAGAATCTGAGTTACATCCCTTGGATTCACATGGTGGATGGTGAGAACCAACTCCCGGAAGTTGTCTCTGACCTGCACTTGTGTGCTATGGCACACAGGCAAACACTAACAAGAAATAAAATGTAAGAGACTGTTTATTAAACAAACAAACAAACAAACAAACACGGGAATTTAATCATGCAGCTAACAAATATCCAAAACACATTTTTGTATTATACCTTGACCTTTAAGACCCAAACAGGCAAGATTCTTGGAATTTTTTATACATTGTATTTCTCTATATTCTGAAGTCACTCTAAGACATTACAGAGCAATGAAGTATATTGTTATTTTATTCAAAACATAAAGCTTCAAAGTTAAAAGTGTTATTAGAAATTTCCCAAATAGGGCTGGAGAGATGGCTCAGAGGTTAAGAGCACCGACTGTTCTTCCAGAGGTCCTGAGTTCAATTCCCAGCAACCACATGGTGGCTCACAACCATCTGTAATTAGATCTGGTGCCCCTCTTCTGTATACATAATAAATAAATCTTAAAAAAAAAGAAATTTCCCAAATTTGGAGAATATTATGGTAGCCAAACTCATTTGACATCAAAGGCGGGCCTTTATAGCAAATCTAACTTCAAATAACAAATTAGGAAGTTTTAAAAATTAGCCCCACATGGTGGGTACAATGGTAATCTCACCAATACACAGAACAGCCTGGATTGTATCCGTAGACTTAGGCTGGCCTTGAACTCAGAGACCCGCCTGCCTCTGCCTCCCAAGTGGTAGGATTAAAGGCATGTGCCACTACAGCATGGTGATTGTATACTGTCTTAATTTTTTAAAAAATTTACAGACGGGAAAAATGAAGCCAGAAAGAATTTTTATTTAAAAACAAGTTAGCAAACAAACAAAAATCCAAACACTTGCAAAAACAGCCTTGGTGTGGTGGCACATGCCTGTAATCCCAACACTTCGAAGGCAACAGGATTATCCTGAGGCCACCCTGGGCTACGTAATAAGACGCTCATTTAAAACCAAAAAAGCATAATAAAAACAAAATAAAAAAACCATACATAGATTAGCTACATCACCATGCCTGAAGAGCTCCTGCTTCCGGCACACCGAGGCCCGCGGATACATAATGACAAAAACTGTCAACAAAGTTGCAGCACCTTAGACCCGGACAGTTACAACGCCCCTCCTTGTTCCAATTCCGCACGACACCCTTCCACCCGCCCTCCAGGGAGGGACCCAGCCAGGCTCTGCTGTAAAAGTTCTTTTATGAACTCGGCAGGGGCCACCCACACACGAATCGAGCAGCGTCACGGGATGTCAACAGGCAGCACTCTATTCTCTTTCTTTCACTAGGAGCCCCGCCCGGGAAGAGACTTAGCCGCAGGTCGCCCAGGCGAG